TTTTACCAGCTTAGGTTGTTTTACCAGAATATCACGTGGTACTTTATCAAAAGCCTTACTGAAATCAAGATGCACTATGTCCACAGCATTCCCCTGATCCACCAAGCTTATAACTCTATCAAAAAAGGAAATGAGATTTGTCTGGCATGACTTATTTTTGAGAAACTTATGTTGGTTCTTAGTAATCACAGAATCCTTTTCTAAATGCTCATAGACGGTTGAATTATCTGTTCTAGGACCTTTTTGTTCTAGGAATCTGGGAGTGTTGTTCCTCCTGAGCTCCTGTTCATTTCAATAGGGCTTGTGCAGAAGAACCGCCCAGTGGATTAGGCCCCATCAGTCAAAGGTGTCTTTGCCTACCCCCCCCCATTCAGTTGCTCCTCCTGGTGCCCCAGCAACACTTACAAGCTGATGCTGCTCCTTTGCCTTGCCATGTCACCATAATTTCATCACATTATTTCGAAGTATTCTTACTGTGCTGTTTGTCTGCCGAAAGATCATCAGAGTGGATTGCGAGAATTTAAGACAAACAACACAGTAGTGTATAATATAATTATGAAACATTAAAAATGTCCAGTAAAACAGAATCAGGGCAGTCAAACAATTAAAAATAGTTCAATGAGAGGAACCAAAGGCCCTTTGAAATAGAAATATCTTCACAACATCAAGCATGAATGCAGCACTCAGCCCAAAAATGTTTTGCCATCCTTGGTTTATTTGGGAGACAGTGGTTCTCAGGGACCCAACCTGGATCCAGACTGTTTAGGGCTTCGCGGTTGGCATCAGTCCTTTGAATTGAGCTCAGAATCAGATCAGCTGTCAATGAAGAGCACTTAATGCAGGTGTAACATCATCCAACCTGATAGTCCCATCTGGTGGCATTTGGAATCAACTGAAGGCACACAATCCATTCTTGAGAGGACTTGGGTGCCCATAACTGAGTCCTGGAAGTAATAGCGCCTAGTACTACCAGCAAGGGTGCCTAGTACTAATGCCTGGTACTTCCATCTATGTGGTGCACACCAGAGGCTGGAGTCCAGCTCCACCATCCCTGACTGCTTCCCATGCTGGCTGCAGCGGATGGGAACTGGCCACCCCCAACTTAGGTTGTTTGAGTGATTGGTACTATTCAAAAAGTTTTTCTCCCAAATCCTCACAATGGCCCTGTAAGGCAGGCCAACATTACTATTCCTATGCTGCATAGGATGAGCTGAGGCTGTGGAGGTGTTGTGCTCAAGGTGAGATTTGACCCCACGATGTCACAGCCCATGTTCTCAGCAGCTTGTCCTCTCGACTTCGCTCAGCCATCTCTCACACGCTGTGAGTGGCCCCCAAATGACTCTGACTAACAAGGATTCCCCTCCCCTTTATTAATCAACATTCATAAAAGTGCCAATTGATCTCCATGTGTAAGGAATTATTTATTGTTTTGATTCACACCCGTCGTATCAAATGTCCCAGCGACAAGGAGCCCGGTGGATTCCATTGCGGACTTCGCCTGCCCAAGAAAAATCTCTCTTGCCTTTGATCAACCCTTTGCTTTGGAAGCTGTTTCAAGTTTACATTTAAATTTCAGAAGATCATGTTTCTTTTGAAAACCTCTCTGGGGCCACATAAGGGATCTCTTCCAAAACTGAAAAAATATTCTGCACAAAGCACATTTTGCTTGGTGTGCATAGGCTCGTCACGGAGCCCTGCAGTGGTTTATAGGCGATGCTGCAGCGATGCTCTCTCTCTCTTTCTCTCTCTCTCTCTGCTCTCCAAGTTTTGACTCCCCTTTGGAAGAAGATCCTTGCAAAGGAGAAACATTACCTTAAAAGGAAAGGAGTGTTATTTCATCACAACCCACAACCATCCAAAGACCCAGAACCAGCCAGCTACCTTTCAAGATACCTTTCAGAATGAGATTACATTTCTTGAGGGTATTCTTCATAATTTTTTTTTCTTAAGTGCAGTCAACTGCAAATGAGACGTGTGTGTACATAACATGTGTATCTGGGATCCAGGATTGGTGGCAGCTTCCTGTCAGTTGTAATAGTCACAAAACCAGGTTTGCAGCTGTGTGCTGTGTTGAAAGGCCCACAGAAATACAGCCTTCTTTAGCCTTGCACCCTGACTCCATCCAGATGTTTTGGGCTGCAACTCCCATCAGTCCCAATCACCAAAACTATCTCAGAAGAGGCATTCCCTCCCGTCTGAGAGAGACATTGCTTGCCACTTATGTTTTAAAAGGGATTTGTATTAGGAAATATAACTTTAAAATTAAAGAAAAAGGGTTCCTGATCCAGAATCGAGGGGTCCCTTTTCTAGCCGTGTCAAAAGGGCAGGGCTAGCCTGAGGCAAAGGAGAAGATGGGCCCTTCCCTCAGCCCTGGCAATGGGGCAGTGTCCTTCCCTGTGCCTGTGCTATGAATCCACCAGGGCTGGCCCACCCATGAGACAGGCTAAAGCAGCCACCTCAGGTGGATGCTACCACTCAGTGGATGCTACTATGCTACCACTCAGTGGATTTGTAACTGGCTGACTGACCGAACCCAAAGGGTGCTCATCAATGGGTCCTCTTCATCCTGGAGAAGAGTGACTAGTGGGGTGCCACACGGTTCTGTCTTGGGCCCGGTCTTATTCAACATCTTTATCAACGACTTGGATGATGGACTCAAGGGCATCCTGATCAAATTTGCAGATGACACCAAACTGGGAAGGGTGGCTAACACCCCAGAGGACAGGATCACACTTCAAAACGACCTTGACAGATTAGAGAACTGGGCCAAAACAAACAAGATGAATTTTAACAGGGAGAAATGTAAAGTATTGCACTTGGGCAAAAAAAATGAGAGGCACAAATACAAGATGGGGGACACCTGGCTTGAGAGCAGTACATGTGAAAAGGATCTAGGAGTCTTGGTTGACCACAAACTTGACATGAGCCAACAGTGTGACGCGGCAGCTAAAAAGCCAATGCAATTCTGGGCTGCATCAATAGGAGTATAGCATCTAGATCAAGGGAAGTAATAGTGTCACTGTATTCTGCTCTGCTCAGACCTCACCTGGAGTACTGTGTCCAGTTCTGGGCACCACAGTTCAAGAAGGACACTGACAAACTGGAACGTGTCCAGAGGAGGGCAACCAAAATAGTCAAAGGCCTGGAAACGATGCCTTATGAGGAACGGCTAAGGGAGCTGGGCATGTTTAGCCTGGAGAAGAGGAGGTTAAGGGGTGATATGATAGCCATGTTCAAATATATAAAAGGATGTCACATAGAGGAGGGAGAAAGGTTGTTTTCTGCTGCTCCAGAGAAGCGGACACGGAGCAATGGATCCAAACTACAAGAAAGAAGATTCCACCTAAACATTAGGAAGAACTTCCTGACAGTAAGAGCTGTTCGACAGTGGAATTTGCTGCCAAGGAGTGTGGTGGAGTCTCCTTCTTTGGAGGTCTTTAAGCAGAGGCTTGACAACCATATGTCAGGAGTGCTCTGATGGTGTTTCCTGCTTGGCAGGGGGTTGGACTCGATGGCCCTTGTGGTCTCTTCCAACTCTATGATTCTATGATTCTATGATTCTAGGTGGCAGAATCCCATAGGGTGGTGCCTCCACAGGTGCCCCACCCAGGCCTGCTGCCACCACTGGGGTCATATGGCTGCTGTGGCTTCTTCCAGCAAGATCCCGCAAGAGTTCAATAAGATCCCACTGGAAGCCATTGCCACAGAACCCCAGTAAGTGAGGCTTCAAAGGGGTGACCATCTCCTTTTGTCTCAGGTGGTCAAACAGGCTGGGCTGCCCCTGGAATCCACACAAGGACTGTCATAAAGAGCTCAGTCAGACCTTTGGTCTTTCTAGCTCCATAATGCGGCCTTCCAGGCTGATCTCCTCCAGCCCTACCTGGTGATGTTCCTACCAGTGACCTAAAGGGTGAAAAACAGAAATATACTTTTTTCCTTCACTGCTGAGGGCAGTTGATGATGTTGACCCAACAGGTGAGATGACAAATGGCGGGCTTAGTGACTTTGCTGTTGGCAATAGGAATCTTTGGTGGCAGGAGCACTGGCGGCCAAAGGAGCCATCACTTGAACTGGAGTCATGTGTGATGTGCTTAAGGGCAAGGGACCAGGTGTTCTGATGTGACGAATGGTAATCTAGAGTTTTGTATAAAGGCTGAGCAAGTAGCTCTTCTTAATTTCCTGCACAGGAATTTGCACAGGCTCAGATTACTCGAAACATATTTACACCCAAACTTGTGGATAAACTTAAGGTCAGGAAACATATATTTCACATAGCAGTTGCTGGCAACTCTGGCACCGATCCCCTCCAGCTGACTAAGCATCATCCACATGGAAGGAAATAGCATCGCCTCCATTCTCCAGAGCTAAGGAGGAGAGAGAGATTTAGTGCATGGCAAAGCTGGGCTCACCCTTAGAAGATGCAAAGTGGGGTCCCCACCTCCACCCCATTTTCATCAGGTGGAACAGCTGGCCTCCACAATTTTGGGCAGAATCCGCTTGGGTCAGCTGCTGACCCCCACCCAGAACAGAGCAGGTGCTCCAGCCTAGGATTCTACAGCCAAATCCCTCTAGTGGCAACAGAGAGTCCAGGCACAATACCCTCCCCAAGCACTGCTCTTTCTCCTTGTGTATCACAGACATATGTGAGACGTGTGAAGTCACCACAGTGGGGTCCTTGGAGACCATCTAGCCCACCCCCATGATCAATTCTGAGCCTCCCAAACCAGCCTCTGCTTTTAGACCTCCCCATGAGGGAGAACTCACCAACCTTTCTAGGCCATTGGCTTCATTGTCAAACTGCTCTACTGTTGGGATATTAGCTTAATGGTCAACTGAAACGGCCACTCCTGTAAACTCATGCGCATCAGGTGGCGCATGCGAGGGTGGCAGTGGGGCGAGGCAGGTAGCAGAGAAGAAGTCCTTTCCCTCCTCCACGTGACAGTCCTTCAGGTGCTTGTGAAGAGTGCTGCCATGTTTACCCCACTACTATTACTACCTTAGTCTCCTATCTAGCTCAGTTGGTTAGAGTGTGGGGCTAATAATGCCAAGGTTGCAGGTTCGATCCCCGTAAGGGACAGCTGCATAGTCCTGCATCGCAGGGGGTTGGACTAGATGACCCTTGGGTCCCTTCCAACTCTATGATTCTTTGAAACTTTGCTACAGGTCATAGAATCATAGAAACTTAGAGTTGGAAAGGACTCTAACCCTCTGTGGTGCAGGACTCTCAACTCAAGCATCCATGACAGATGGCCGCCCAATTTCTGCTTAAAAACCTCCAAGGAAGGAGAGTCCACCACCTCCTAAGGGAGTCCGTTCCACTGTCAGACAGCTCTTACTGTCAGAAAGCACTCCCTGATATTTAGTTGGAATCTACTTTCTTATAACTTGAAGCCATTGGTTTAGGTCCTACCTTCCAGAGCAGGAGAAGGCAACTTTGCTCTATGTTCCATGTGGCAGCCCTTGAGACGTTTGAAGATGGCTCTCATATTTCCTCTCCGTTTCCTCTTACCAGGCCACACATATGCAGCTCCCTCAACCACTCCTCAAAAGGCTTGGTTTCCAGACCCTTGATCACCTTGGGCACCCCGCTTTGCACCAGAAATGGACGCAGGACTTTTTCCATACCCATCATCATCAGTGCTTTTTTCCTGGCAGAAAGTGCCTGAACAGAGTTCCAGTGCCATTTTTTTGGTCAAATCTGCTCACCTTCTCTTGTGGGCACATCTTTCCCCCCTCGAGCGAAACCCTCTTCTCCCAGCCCTTCAGGTGGATCAGGGGCAAATCCCAATGCCAGAGCAAGTGCAAAGCAAAGCTGCTGCTAAGCATGGCCAAAGGGTGGAGTAAGCCATTTGGCAGTCTGCTGTTCTGGCCACACCTCGCAGTGTTGCCTGCCTAGGGGAGGAAGCGCAAGCAGCCCTCCACTTTCCCCCTGGAGAGTGCGTCAACCACGGGCTGGATGAGGGCAAAAATGGTGGGTCCTCTTAGAAATAAGAGCCTCCAACCCGCCTGTAAATGACATTCTTCTGGTGACCTTTCAAAGCTGTTCCCAAAACCTGTGGGCCAGTTATGGTTGGCATGTTCGTTGGCATCCAAACAACAATGCCAGTGTTGGGAAAGAGTAGTGTGCCTCTGAGCATGTGCAGAGTGCCCCCTTCCCCCACCACCCACTTGCAGCTGAGCAGTACCAGCACCTTTTTTTTTCTATTAAAAGGAGCACTGCCCCTCCTTGTTGTCCTCTGCATCCCTTCATTTACTGCAGTACTCCAGTCACAGTCCTCTGCCAAGGGCAGAGTCATGAACAACTGATGCCCTCTGCATTCCTATGCTACTTTTCAAATATTATTTTGATTTATTTCTTGGGAGGCTGATCCAAAGCCTCTGCTGAACTGAAAGCCTTTGTCTGGGTCTGTTCAAACAGCGCATACCAAGCAACACCCAAGGGTATGGGACTGCTAGGAAATGTGCCTTCCACTTAGTGCCTGGCACAATGTTCTCCATGGGAGTTACCAATCTCATCTACCTAGGAAGTGTTGGATCTCCTCCCAGTGACTGGATGGAGCCAGCTCCAAGTCTCCTCTCTGAATTGCCCCTTGAACAAATGCAAAGAAAGTCCTTTTGTCTCCCCTAATGTTTGAGCAAAATCTACCTTCCTGCAGCTTAAGCCACTAGTGAGTTGCACACTTCCCAAAGCCTCAAGCTGATTTGCTCCATCTCTTCAGTGCCAAAGAATTTGATCAAGTTGGTCCCAAATGCTGAGATGGTAAGGGAATTACAAACCACTTCTGGGTCTCTCCTTTTGACCAACACAGCTGCCTATGGGTTGTGGTGCAGACACTCAAGGCTGAACTAGGCATACCACGGAGGTCTGTGGTCTCTGGCAGCTTTTCTAAAAAAATGACAGCACCTTTGAGGGCACCTGAATCAGACTGGGACCATGGCACCCAGGCAGCGGGCAGGAAGTCTAACCTTTTATCCTGCACCATTTCCCCAATTAAAATTGCCTCTTGCTGCTATTTGCCCTGTGGCAAATGAATACTTACTTTAAGATACAATGCAAGTGAGCTGCTAGAAACCTCTTGATCAGGGCCAGCTCTCCCATTAGGCAGCAGGTGCAGGGGGGCCGCAGTGGCGCCCTTGGCCATTCCTCCCGAGCCTCCTGAAGAAGTTAGAATTGTGTTTGCACATGGCCAGTCACGAGCTCCATAATCTAGCCTGCTGTCCTCAGTTGCAGGGAGGATGCCTGTCCCATAATCAGTACTGAAATAAAAATCAGCTGCCAGCCTAATCAACTTCAGTACATGGATTTGAGGGTGGGGTCAGTTTGCCTTTTGCTGCAGGCACAAAATGTCTTGGGCCAGTTCAAGCTCCTGATCGTATGTTTTGTGTCTCGTCTAGTTTATCCCTAAGCCTTGACCTGTGACTCATAAAGCCAAAGGTCACTAGCAAAGAGCCATGCGTCATCGATGCCTCGGTGCAAGGAATGCCAATCTGCTGGCCAGGACAATGGACCAAGGAAAACAGTTATGGGGAAAGGAAATGAGGGTACCAGAGCACGGCCTGGGTAAGGAAAAGGCAACAAAATAAGAATCCGTGTGCAGGCAGTTAGCTAGATGCAAAGGGTGGGTTCATATAGCGCTGTCAGATATTAAGTGCTGAGAATTGGGTTCCTTCTTGATTTAGGGATGGAGGAGAAATGTGTTGCAGTTCACATTATAACGTGAACTTAGTTCACTCTTGCCAAGCCCATAGGAAAAGCTGGAGTGAAGCTCCCTTTTGAAGTTCAGAGGCCATTTCCCAAATTTTGTGATACAGTTCGCCAACCTAAAACACGCACAAAAACAAATGGATCAGGTGAAAGTGTGCACAAGAATGCATTAAGGAAACTGGTTTACAAAAATGTGTATACCGTGAGTGATGTGTATGAAAATGAATTTAAATTTTAATGGAGAATTTCTCTTTGATTCACAAACTGATACCAGAATAGAGGCAAATGGAATTTAAAATTAGAGAAATGAGAAACTGAGAGAGAAATGGGAATTTGGCAGATTCTTCTTCCATCGTTATTTCCTATTCTGGAGAGAGATATGTTCCTGGTTTTGTGAGTGCCTCCTTGTTTCAGGATTTGCATTGTGATAAGCAAAACAGGACTGTGCTAGCAGAGTTGAATTTCTCCTCCCCACCCCCCACCTCTTGCCTAAAGTTAGTGCTCTGGGATGTTGAAAGATCCACACTGCAAAGTCACTTAATCCCCTGTCAGCTACTCAGGCCTTAAGCTAGAAGCGGCTTTCACAGGATCCTAGTTTCTCAGGCAGAGGAGAAGCTTGAACGTGCTAAGGCGCTGGCATTGAAAGTATTCCTCGAAAAATGTTGCTCTGACAGTTTCTGCCTAAGATTTACTGTGTGTCGGGCAGCACTGTATCATTATTCTAGAATATAAATGAAAACAAGGGTTGCAATCCTGAGCATCCTTGCATGAGAGTAAGTTGGACGCGGACCAACTGTTCTGATGTTCAGGTATCTAAATTCTGCTGGAGGGGGCCATAAATCAATGTGTGGCATTCTTTTTCTTCCAGAGAAGCTTCAAAGAAAACCTTCTATGCTGGTACCTAAGGACTATCATGCTTTCTTTACTAAGCGACCGGAAGGCTTGGTGTTCAGCACTGCATGTTCAGCCTGAAGCATTTTGGTGCCTAAGGCACAAAACCTAAATAGCAGGCACATATGCAATTTCCTATTAAATAACATGGGGTAGAATCCAGTTGCTGAGGTTCAAGCAGTGCTGGAAACATTCATGTTGGAAGCTAGATGTTGCACTAGGTGGATTTTTAGACTTGGCCAGTTGGGCTCTATGGAAACTCTAATGGAGAAGTCTATTAACAGCAATGAGCAAAGGAACTTCCATATCCAGAGGCAGTCTACCTCTGAATATCAGGCACTGGGGAGAAACAGAAGGGGAGGGATATTACCTTTGTGGGCTTTCTCAAGTCATCTGATTGGCCATGGTGGGAAGTTGGGCCTCTGGTCTGATCCAGCAGAGCTGCTCTTTACACTCCTAATTCACTGGGCAGGTCTCATGTGTAAGCCACATTGAAGTGAATAAACATCCCTGCATTTGAAGATTGCTCAGGAGAATTTCCCTGTGGATTGTGTCCCACGAGCTGACTCTGCCTCCCACTCTGCCAGCCTTAAACATACCCAAAATCCACCAACCCTGAGGCTTGCTTAAATTAGCATCAATGGCTCTAGATGTCTGCTGTCTACTAAAAGGAGCCTTGATTGGAGCTGCAGAGAAGAGGACTACCTTTTGGCCGTGGGCCATAGACCCAGGAGCAAGCCTACAGGTGTCAAAACGTCCCTCTATGCTCACTTAGTACAATATTTGGGAAAGGCAACCATTTATAAAATGGAAATGGTTCTTCTGCTGCTGAAATCCTGCTGCTGCTTAGACCTGCTGGCCATAAGAGCCTGTTACTTGGAGATGGCAGATGGCTGAGTTTTGCAAGTTAGAAGCAGCTGGGGAAAGGGGTGCACTGCTGATGTTTACCCCAGATGGGGTCTAATTATGCTTGAAGGTCTAGCAGGGTGTTTTCCTGTGCTCAGGTTTATGTATTTGTAAATGCACAAATACTACAAAGAGAAATACCACAAAGGAAAGTGGGGAGATGCAGAATGGGCTGCAGTCAGGTTGGGAGGGGGCCTCAACAAAAGACTTCCCTGAGGGGGCTTCCATTACCCTTCTACTTACACTCCTGTGACAGCAGCAGCTTCTGCTGATGCCTCCTTTCTGTTTGACGCCAAATATGGGTGGAGAATCTGAGCACCCGTCTTGTCAGGAAATGTGGGGTCTCCCTGGGGCCTCTGCAGTGGAGCAATTTGGTTCCCAGTGGGGGAACACCAACCTCTGTATCTCTGCAGGGGAGCTGCAGTGGGTTTTGGTCTCCTTCCTCAGGTGTTTCCAGTCTGCACTGGGCTCCTTCTGGTCAGTGGGGCATTTGCAGGTACCCAAACAGACCAACCACTGACACACACACCCCGCTTAGCCAGGAAGAAAGCTGCAAAACAGCACTTGGAAGAAGTTTATGGGCATTATGTCACTGGGCTACAATGCTGTTCATGTGAAGACGAGAACTACTAAAAGCAACGCAGGATGACTCAAAGATTCCTTTGGTTGTGGGGCAAGACAATCACATTCCTGGGCC